GTTTCTCAAAATAAAAGAACCTCCAAAACGCAAGGTATGCTCGCACAAGACACTGTTCTTTATAACCAGGAAATCATATAATAATACCATGTTTCCCCATCTATAGATACTCATGCTCATAAAATTATGATGATCATTACAGAGTAGTGGGAACAGAGTTAAAATAAAAAGGCTGGAATCATGGACATGGGGCAAGAGGGCTGTAACTCATCAAACATATTAAAACCTGACCAATTCTGATGATGTGGAAAAAGGATTGTTTTGTTTTTTATTTTTCTCCTCCCATATTAAAAGAGAGAAAAATAAGGAGGGCCTCTTCCACTTGAAGAATTTTTTTTTATTTAACTCTCTTTCTTCCAGCCACCTTCTAGAAGTATTAAGTGCCTATTTCTGCATGCCCTTAATCCCAGTGGAGGCAAGTAGATCTCTGTAAGTTAGAGGCCAGCCTGGTCTACACAGTGAAACCCTGCCTCAGAAAAAAAAAGGACCAAGGACCTTAAATCTCACCTGGGGGTTCCTCTTGGTATCTGGGTTCCTTGTGGGCCTCTGTGATGTCCCCTGTGGACTTGAACAGAGTGGGTGTTGCACCCATCCTGGACAGTCTGCCAGAGGTTTCTTCTCTTGAACTGAAACACACATCAGGTTCACGTTTCAGGAGGTAACACATTCACGATACATACACAAATACATTCATAATGACTTGAGCAGGGGAGAATCCACACCACCTTACCTTGGCTTTTCCTTCAGCTTCTTGTTGGAAGAATGATAATCATAATCAGAATATTGCTGGTGTCTCTCCTCTGGAGAAAAGGAACAGTTTGACTCTATTTCTGAGATATCTGGTTTCAAAATAAGAAGACCTTTTCAGTAAAATATGTGCCAGAAATTACACTAATCTCTGAATAGGAAACACGAGGACAGACAGGCTAGAATATACTATTTAGTCTAGCTAGTGTTTCTTTTTCTAAGGGTGAGGGGCACTTCATAAGTATCAGGGAAAGGTATTACTTGATAAAGAGAAAGTCAGATTCAGAATTTTATGTTTCTTTCACCCCACTTTCTTTCAAAGCTATTATTAAAGCAGTCACAATTCAGTGACAGTGTTCCTCTGCATCCATCACAAAAATTGGCTACAGAATCACTTTCTCAATCAAATCAGATGACTAAGTCCCTAATGTAAAATGTGATGTTTACATATGACCTACCAATATTCTCCTGTGTGTTTTGCCTATGATACATAATATAACTTAAATGCTACATCAATAGCTGTTACTTAAGAGAACAGTAAGAAAAAAGCCTGAACTTTCAGAACTTTTCTCCCCAAATATTTTCAATCCATGGTTGCCTTATAAAATAGACCAATGCTTCTTAAAATTTAATGTGCATTTCAATCATCTAGAAACGCAGCTGTTCTGGGGAGATTCTATAATTCTATCAAGTTCCTTGATGACAATGATGTTGCTGCAGTGCAGAAGAAGACATGATAAACAGCAAGGAAATAAACTGCAAACTCTTACTGTGATGAATTCTCACCATCTGTTTTCCTGCACTGCACTCGCAGTATGGACAAACTGGGCAAGCTTCTGATACACTGGAAATTAAATTAACTTCCAAAGCTGGGCATGGCAGTGCACACCTGCAATCCCAGGTTAGTTCCTTTTACCTTCTGAGCTATCTCATCATCTAGCAAAGCTATTTTCACCCAGTAGTCTAAAGAAGGGGCCAGTAGAAAAGTCAACCTGTAGGTCTGCGATGGGACCCACACTTCAGGTAGCAAGCCCTCTCCACTAAGCTACATCCCAGTCTGGAACTATTACAAGAGCCCATCCTCTAGCTGACATTTCTTTTAGGAATTCCACTTTAATCTCAACCAATGCATGTTAGGGACTATTTTATTTTACTCTTAGGCATTGTGCTGGATAGCTTTAATTGTCAACTTGACACACTTGGGTAGAGGGGGCATTTGGGGGAATTGCCTCTATTAGACTGGCCATGTCTGTGGGGTTGAATGATGTGGGAGGGCCCAGCCCACTGTGGGCAGTACCACCTCTGGGCAGGTGGTCCTCTATTGTATAAGAAAGCAGTCTGAGCATGGGCCAGGGGAACAAGCCAGTAAGCAGTTATCCTTCATGGTCTGTGCTCCAGTTCCTGCCCTGAGTTCCTACCTTGGGCTCCCTCCGTGATGAACTAAGACTTGGGAGATGTAAGATAAAATAAACCCTTTCCTCCCCAAGTTGGTTTTGATCAGCATTTTTATCACAGTATTTGAAAGTAACTAGAACAAAAATTGACTTTTTTTTTTGGTCACTTTGAGACAGGGTTTCCTTGGAGTCCCAGCTGGCCTGGAACTCTCTATGAAGACCAGTCTGGACTCGAATTCACAGATATCCCTCTGCCTCTGCCACAGCACCTGGCTCAAAAATTTAAGTTTTAAGTGACCCTTTCCCTACACTCCTTATTTTCTAAAACATTCTTGGGAGGGGGGTGATGATTATAATGCAATTTAGAGATACCACACCTGCTTTGATAAAGACTTTCTAAATTATTAACAAATATTTAGAGTTGGTCCCTTGTATCTCAACCTAAGTGTCTGCCAGTATCAAAAGGTAGTTACTGTACTTGGTTCCTATCCATGCAAGTTACATATGAAGCTGGAATAATGCCATTTTTCCAAGTTAAGAAAACAAACAAGCTGGGCATGATGGTACACATTTTTAATCCCAGCACTTGGGAGGCAGAGGCAGGAGGATCTCTGAGTTTGAGGCCAGGCTTCTCTGCATAATGAGTTCGAGGGTAGCTGGGGCTACATGGAGACCCTGTCTCAAAAAGACAAACAGGACCTGTATTACTAAGAATAGCAATGAATATCACAATATCTAGAGATTTTGACTGTTTATTATAGTATCTACATGTTTTACACCATCTTCTAAACTGTCTTTCTTAGAAATATTAAGCCATTTTTCTTAAGTAGAGTTGGAATTTATTGAAAGATTTTAATACAGATTTTAATCACTAGGGTTAAGAGACAGAAAAGGTGCTAAACAGGAAAGACACGCCTGAGAATGTGGGTGTGGCATCTCAGGGAAGAGTCACCAAAACAACCATTTTTAACAGGGGTGTGTGTGTGTGTGTGTGTGTGTGTGTGTGTGTGTGTGTGTGTG